CGCCCCCGCGCCCCGGGCCCGCGCCTTTCAGAGGGCCTTTGTTTGAAGAGCGCTCCCAACACCCAAGACCATCTATAGAGACCCTGTGTGGTCATGTCACGAAACACAGCGAGTGAGGATGTGCGCTCCCAACGTTTTCTATCTTTTCGAGGATCGCCCGCCCGCCAGGAACCGCACACGATGTTCGGGCTGTCCGAAGACGCGGCGAGCAGCGCAACCCGACTGCTGCTGCAACGCACGTAGGATTGCTGCTTCTTTTGAGGGTTTGGGGGACCCTTGTTTATTGCAGGGGAGCACAATTGTCATATCATCTAGAGGAGGCAATTTGGCAACCAAAGATGTATCTGTTGCAGCCATGCTGTTTCCCCGAATGAACGCATCCAGGGTCCTACCACGCCCCACGCCCCTCTCAAAACGCCTGCCCCTGGTGGGTTTGTGGGAGAAAAGCCATGTTGGCGCGGTCAAAGCGCAAGACATATTATTGAGGCAGGAAGCCACAATGTTCTATGACCATGTCGCTGGACTGTCTCGATGAGGGTCTGATTGCGTATTGTGGGGCGGTGTCGCTAAAAAGGGTGGCCGAAAAGTGTTCGTGATCTGCATATTTTGCGTTTCCTTTCTTGCCGGGGGGGGGGAGGGCGCAATGCAAAAAAGGAGAGGGTAACAACGCAAAGGGTGCAGGCGGTCAGTTTCAAGCACAGGCATCGAACGATGCTGACCCTCATTGAAGCGCACGGCCCTCCAAAGGAAATTGTGGAATCTACTTTTGCCCAAGTGTTTATGCCAACAGAAAGTCTCTAGCCCCTTTCTTTGCACGTGGCCTTTGGAAGGCAACATACTTCTGTGCCCGGCGCATCTGGGGGGACTTCGGATTTGGATGGAATTCCGCTGAGCACCAGATACCACCATGAACCCATACATTTTCTCGGTGAAATAATACTCAGAGCCCCGCGCCCCGGGCCCGCGCCCGGCGCACACGCGCACACGCGCGCACACCCACCCACCCACCCACCCACCCATCCACCCACCCGCCCACCCACCCACCCACCCACCCACACCACCCACCCACCCCCACCCACCCACCCACCCACAACACCCACCCACACCCACACCCACCCCACCCACCCACCCACCCACCCACCCACCCACCCACCCACCCACCCACCCACCCACCCACCCACCACCCACCACAACCTCCCACAACCCACCCACCACCACCCACCACTCACCCACCACCCACCAGAACCCCCCCACCCACCGCCGCACCCACCCACCCACCCCACCCACACCCACCCATCAACACACTCCACACACCCACACACCCACGCCCACCACACCCCACAACACCCCATCATCACCAACAACACACAAGACAAACAGCCACACAGCAAACACGAACACAGAACACACAGACACACAGGACACACCGACACACAGACACACAGACACACAGACACACACACACACACACACACACACACACACACACACACACACACACACACACACACACACACACACACACACACACACACACACACACACACACACACACACACACACACACACACACACACACACACACACACACACACACACACACACACACACACACACACACACACTCACACACACACACACACACACACACACACACACACACACACACACACACACACACACACACACACACACACACACACACACACACACACACACGCGGAACCCAACTGGAAAATCCCGCCCATGACGTGGCCAACCCTAGAGTCAGCTTCCCCATACAGTTGGTGGTTGGGATTGCTCGTTTGGAGGTGTGGGGCGGTTTCCCATTTGCCTTTGACTCACTTCTCCAAAGCGAAACCTTTTAGCATTCCAGGGCTTAAAAAACTAGACCACGGTTGGCCCGAAAGCATAACATCGCAAGCGAGGTCGGCCCAACGCTGCAGGATGCGTTCTTTTTCCCTCCACGAAGCATTTGTGAAGCAAGCGCGAGACAGCACCAGGCAAGGTGCTCTGCGCAAACTGGTCGGTGCAAGTTGGTCTGCGCAAGTTGCTCTACGCAAGTTGCACTGCGCAAGTTGCTCTGCGCAAGTTGCTCCGCGCAAGTTGCTCCGGCAAGTTGGTCCCTGCAAGTGGCTCCCTGCAAGTTGCTCTGTGCAAATTGCGCTCCCTGCAAGTTGCTCTGTGCAAGCTGCTCTGTGCAAGTTGCTCTGTGCAAGTTGCTCTGCGTAAGTTGCTCTGCGCAAGTTGCTCTAGGCAAGGCGCTCTGCGCAAACTGGTCGGTGCAAGTTGGTCTGCGCAAGTTGCTCTGTGCAACTTGCTCTGCGCAAGTTGCTCTGCGCAAGTTGCTTTAAAATGCAAGTTGCATCTTGCGACGCCCACCCGCGGACCAGGGAGGAATCGAACCCGCGACCCGCCGGTTCCGGGAGCAGGCGCGCGAACCACGAGACAACTCCCGAGGACCAGTTCGAACAACAAAAGTCGCAAAAAACCTCGAGTTTTTGCACCTCGACCACGCCGATTCCCGCAGAGGGTTGCGCGAGCACCGCAGAAATCGCAAAAAAAAACTCGAGTTTTTGCACCTCCACCACGCCGATCCCCGCAGAGGGTCGCGCGAGCATGTTAGAAATCGCGAAAAACCTCAAGTTTTTGCACCTCGACCACGTCGATCCCCGCAGAGGGTCGATTTTCGTGTAGTGTCGTCGGCACTACCCCGCCGCCCTAAGAAGAGATTTTAACTCCTCGCAAGTCAACTGCACTTGGCTCCTTGCACTTGCAACTTGCACTTTGACTCCATGCGCTTGCAACTTGCACTATGACTCCTTGCATTGACTTTCATGATGATAATTCCTTGCAATGACTTCTTGTAATGACTCTCATGAGAACAACTCAGGTGAACCCAGCGGAAGAACCCCTTCGCCATGCTTTCGGGAAAAACTCCCCCCCAAGTCATTTCCCTTTTACTTTACAAAGAATGAGAAGGAGAAAAAAAACACAAGCCAGCAACCCCCCACAGCCCACCCCTTCCCCCCCAAGTCCAAATGTCCCAACCTCCAGGTGTGCGCCCGCCAGCCCCAGCCACCCCCACCCCACCACCCCCCTACCCCAACCCCCCCCACCCCAGCCACCCACCCCACTCACCCCACCCCCACAAAGGGTCCAAAGGGTCCAAGGGCCCCAAGCTCCAGGAGCGCGTGCTCTCATGGCGCCTGCGGGAGGCGCAGCGGGAGCTGCACAGCACCCAGGAGGAGCTGCAGCGCACCAGGCGAACCGATCCATCCCGCTCCAACGGACCGGCCGTCCAAGTCCCCTCCGGTGCATTGCTAGCGGCTCTTCTTGCTTTTCTTTTTTTGTTGGGGGCGGGGGAGGGGGGGGAAGGTTTAGTCATTGTTATTTTGTGGTTTTATTTTATTTTATTTGGGGGGGGGGGGGTGATGACCAACCATTTTTGAAGGGTCGTGAGGACTCCAGGCATGGGGTGAAGGCATTCCGCATTAGTGCTGGCCCGATATGAATCCTGGACCCCCTTTTAGTGTTTACAGGGGGAATTGAATCATTCCGTTGGGTTTCTCAGGATGCTAGTTGTTTGGGTATCCTTGTTTTTGTGGGTTTTGACGTGAAATCAAAAGGAACGCCGAAGCCGGTCCCCAATATGGTTTGTTTCATGCTGGCCCTTATGAAGAAGCCCACTTGTTGTTAAGAGGGGTCCATTTTTGTTCGTGGGGAATCCTTTTTTCCAGACCAATGAAAATAGGGTGCTCCAATTTTTATTTTATTTATTTATTTATTTTTTATTTTTTTTTTTGGGGGGGGGGGGGGTAGTGGGAACTCTTCGATTTGATGCAAGCAACCGCTGACAGCGGGTTTGTTTTGTTTGCGCCTTCTGCCTGAACAGGCTATACCCATGCAAAACCCCTTTTTGGTTTCTTGCAGCTTGCCGAAAATATTTGCCTATACCATGCCCAGTTGCCAGTTGAGTCGATTCCACACCTTTTCTTGCTTGGAAGGGTGCCTGAGATAAACCAAAGGGTGTCAATCAAAGCGTCCTTTTTAGCTTAGTCTGGCTAGAAATACACGGGTTCCTCTCGTTTAGATTGGCTTGATGCTCCATTCACCAAGGCCATCTATGTGTCCAAAAGGTCACCTACGGTGCCAATCCAACATGTTGTTCCCATGGAAATCGTGGGCTGACTTCACAGACGCCTGGGCTCTCAGAACAACAACTGAAGCAAATATGGGCGGCTGACCTTTTTAGTGGACCCCGGTTGACTGGATTTCTGTTTTCCTCTTGACGTCCCTGAAAACCACCAAAAGGGAGGTACCAACCCCCCAAAAAGACCAGCCCATAGGCGTGAAAGAAACCGTTTAGAAGGAAAGCTACCCATTTTGAGGGTCCCCCTTGAAACGGAGTCGCAGAATCTGACCATTTTTCCTGGTGTCCCTTTTTACCAAACAGTACCAACTCCAAAAAAGGACCGGCCACCCATCATGATGTTCCCCTCCAAAAAGTCATGAATCCCCACTAAAACCAGGGCCCCCCCAAATAAGCATGGGCTTACTTCCATTTGCTTAAGAATATGTTGTTGTTTTTTGTTCTTCCCCTTGTTGGTTTTAAAGGGAATCTATCACTACTGGAAATATGTTATTTGTCCCGGCGACTTCAGCAAAGGCTTGCTTCCATTTGCTTAAGAATATGTTGTTTTTTGTTCTTCCCCTTGTTGGTTTTAAAGGGAATCTATCACTACTGGAAATGTGTTATTTGTCCCGGCGACTTCAGCAAAGGCTTGCTTCCATTTGCTTAGAATATGTTGTTTTTTGTTCTTCCCCTTGTTGGTTTTAAAGGGAATCTATCACTACTGGAAATGTGTTATTTGTCCCGGCGACTTCAGCAAAGGCTTGGCGACTTCAGGGCAAAGGCTTTGCTTCCATTTGCTTAGGAATATGTTGTTTTTTGTTCTTCCCCTTGTTGGTTTTAAAGGGAATCTATCACTACTGGAAATGTGTTATTTGTCCCGGCGACTTCAGCAAAGGCTTGCTTCCATTTGCTTAAGAATATGTTGTTTTTTGTTCTTCCCCTTGTTGGTTTTAAAGGGAATCTATCACTACTGGAAATATGTTATTTGTCCCGGCGACTTCAGCAAAGGCTTGCTTCCATTTGCTTAAGAATATGTGGTTTTTTGTTCTTCCCCTTGTTGGTTTTAAAGGGAATTCATCACTACTGGAAATATGTTATTTTTCCCGGCGACTTCAGCAAATTGAAGTTTATGAATCCGGGATCAACATCACCAACAATTCTATCGGTGACTTCCCCATTCTTTCCAGGAATCCTTCTTACTAGAAAGCCACCACAACCCTGGGGAAATGGATCCGGTTTTTGGAAAGAACGATGGCTGAAAAGAATGGAAAAGAAATCAACCCCTAGACCAACGGGGGCACCAACTCCAAAACGGAGCCGAACACTTCGCAGGGCCCCCGCCTTCGCAGGGCCCACGTGGCGCAGCTGCAGCGGTTCCAGGACCCCCGGTGGCAGCAGCAGGCGGACCAGGCGGCGCACCGGGCGCAGCGCCTGGAGAATCTGCAGGAGGACCTCAAGGCGCGAAGCGGAGGTTGTGGGTTCCTTGAGCCGAAAAATGCAACCAGACACACACCCGGTATGAACCAACTGGGGTTGATATGGAAAAAAGGGGTCAACATTATCTCACTTGGGTTGAAAATGGGGCATCTGGCATTCCCGTGTTTGTTTTTTCGCTTTTGGTGCAGGATGAATGGCTAGGGTGTTGCTAGTTGCCCTTTCTCACCCCCTTTTTTGGGGGGAGGGTTCCCCTACTAAAATATACTACCTCAAGGCGCAGCTTCAGCTTGTGCCCGGTTGCTGGCCCCTGCAGCTTTTCTGGGCCTTCCGGTACGAAAAAAGTGTCGGGTTGCTCGAAGGGCCAACTCTGGCCAAAGCAAAGATGGCTCTCACCCGCAAAAAGCAAAAAGCACCCAGGCCTTGCAAGAAGGTTCCTTCGGAAGGTTTTGGTTTCAGGCGGATTTGCAGAAGATGGCCGTCCTGGGCCTTACGCAGCGGGAGGCGGAGCTCAAGCACTGCGCACCTCGGCTGGGCCTTTAGAGGAGGGGGACGAACTGAATTCGTTCAAGCAACCGGTACCTGGGCCCCTTGTTAAAGTGACAGCGCTGTGCTTGGTGACTGGAGGATTTTCGCGGCGGAAACCACGCTGGAGCAGTACAAGAGCTGGTTAAAATGTCCTGAAAGAGCTAAACAAAGACGCAAGGGCAATCTTTAAAAGGAGGTGGTTTGAACCATGGGCTGAGACGTGTCCAAGTTCACTCGCCCGACCCTGACCCTTTGCTCTTCAGTTTTCAGCAATGGTCCAAGGAAAGTAGCCCCGGAACTTCCAACGTGCAAAAGGCCCTTGTCGGCTAAAACAAGAATGGACCAACCAGCTGACCCCCAAAGCAGCGTGTGGGTGTTTGATTCAACTGAAGGTGGCCTGGTGGCAACAGGGTAGACTCGATCCAGGGGGCCTGGCCACGCGACCCAATCTTCTGAATGCAGTTGACGCATGAGTTCTGGCAAAGCAAGCAGCTCACGCAGTGGATGACAAGCCACCATAGTATTCATTGGTGAGCGGCTCAAATTCCTAGTCGCCACTAATCCAAGCCACCAATTCTCACAGTGCTAAACAAAGAGCTTGGACCTTCATTTCTCCAACAGAAAGCCATGGAGTTCCAATCGAGACGCTTGGGGACACTGGCCTTCGCCAGCGGCTTTTGCGAGGTAAGCTGACTTCAGCTGCCATTTGCTTAAGAGGTTTCATTAAAATGTCCCTTTCTGGTCCAAAATAATGTTTGGTTTTGAAAGGAATCATTTTTTCGCTGCTGGACATCCTTTCTCTCATTTTTCCGCAGGGTCTTTGTGAGGCCGCGGAGCTCTGGTCCAAGTGGGCCTTGACTGGTCCCATGCCGCGACGCTCCACCAAAGACACGCGCAGGGAGAAGGCGCGGGGGATGGGCGTGAGGTCGTCTGGTTGGGATGTGGGGGACGATCAGAAGGTCGATATATCAGCTGTTGCTCGTTTTTTTTAACCGTTTTTTGGCGGCTGGGAGCTTGGTGGTTTGGTGGTTTTGCGGAGGGGCTTGCCATTTACCGCCCACAAGGGGCTCAAATGCCCAACCACCCATCGAAACCCCAATGTGAGGGAGGCTGATTGCTTGGGAAACCACTAAAAGGATGAGATGTTCCACATGGGGCCAGGAATGTTGATCCACCCCCATGTGCTACTTGGAGATGGTTGCGAGTCATCCGCGAGTTTCGCACCACGGTGAGTGAAACCCATGGTCGAAGGGGAGCCGCAAAGCTTGCGGCGGTATTTACCGGGGGAATCATCTTCCGTTGGGTTCCATTTCAAAGGTGGATGTCGAGTATGATATGCCACATATGACCATGATTCCAGGATGGTTGTAAGGCAACCGATGTGGAAAACCCCTCGAAAGTGGTTGGACAGATCCCCCAGCTGCATGGTGGTCCATCTCAGGTCCCTAAATCAAGCTCACGAGCTCGTGGCTGTGGCTCAAATCAATGGAGCCCAACATGGCACCTTGCTAAATGGCACCTTGCGGACCCAAAACCGCGTAACCCTAGCTAGTGAATTTTGAGCCACAGCCTCATGTGAAAAAGTTGAAGCAACTTGAGGCCGCACATCTCAACACCTTCGGGTCTATGAGGTGCTTTGAACATAGACCGACCGCCAGCTTTTTTGTTGGTCGAGCTCCATGGGCCGAAAAACTGGCAAAGCACCTTGGAAGTACCACACAACTCAAAGGATTTCCGTGAAAGGAAGTTACCCCAACGGGTGGACACCAGGAGCCCGGCCGGATCCGAGCGCGGAAGAGGCATGCGGGTGGGTTTGGCCCAGATCCATTTCGTACCACTTTGAAACCATGGTTGAAACCCTTGTTTGCTTGTTTTTTCAAGGGAGTCGTCTCATTCCAGGTGTCTTATCATCCAAAGTGTTTTGCCACATGGGAAACTCCGTGAAGTCTTGGGTTCACCCAAAACCCGCTGTTGTTCAGCCACATTTGCGGGAATCGACGGCTCCGTTGGCAACGGATCTTTGGACTTTAACTTCTCGGGAACCAGTGGATTTCCATTGGACCCAACAGTGAAGCTCATTTCTTGCGAGGGGTCTCGCCAGCAGCCAAGATGCGGTGTCCCTTTTGCCGTCCCACTTTGGAGCAGCCTTGTTTGTCTTCTTTCACGGGCGGGCGGGGCATGGCTGTCGAGCTGGAATAAAGTGATGGACAAGTTCATCCCCGAAGTTTGATGTCCATTTCGAGCCCTTTTGATGAATTTCAAGAGTCGGAACCACCTCAAAAGTAGTTGGTGGGCGCCCACCACCGGAATGGACATAGCATCCAAAACTCCATTTTTGTATCCCTATCGGGCTATCGGGTTGGTGGACATCAGTCCCAACTTCCCCAGAATTGGCTCCCCTTTTTGTATTTTTGCTGTTTTGGGGGTCCCTTTGTTTTCCGCTAACCTGGCAAAACGGATATGTATATATATATATATATATATACATATATATATATATATATATATATATATTTTTTGCTGGAGTCCTAATTCCAGCCTAGCCAAATGATGTGATTACCCCAAGGTATTCACACCCGTGTGTCCCCCACACCGGAAACCCGGCCTTCGGTCAGCCACCTGCGCGCCGCAGGTGGCAGCACGTGGCCCAGTTCGTGCGCTATGCCTTCGGCCCTGGAGCCGCACACTCGGTGCCGGCTCAGCGGTACCTGGCCTTCCGGGTCAAGGCCGGATGGGGACGGATGGGAGGGAGGGGTTTATCCATTATCATATCCCCCATTGAAGCCATGGACGTCATAACACCAACGCAAATCCATGGTTGTTGTTGGGAATATTATTATTTTTTTTTAATTTGTTGCTTCTTGTGGCTGAGTGGTTGAACTCCAAATCCACTGAACTGCTAAAGTTTGAGATGTTTTGCTTCCCTATCCCAACGTCAAAGGTATCCCTACTTCGATCGGCCAAGTTAGAAAAGGGGCAAGCCACCTAGTAACAAGGTGAGCTCTCCGCTTCTGGGGGCTGGGGTACCACCAACTTACTATGGCCGGACACCCAGGTGCCTTTGGCTCAACTCACTGGAGCCCAAAATGGCAGCTTCGAAAATGGAGCCAAAGACTAAAAACCTGCGCTTTGCCCTGGCTCTTTGATTTTGAGCCACAAGTAGGTGACGTTTACAATGCCCGAAGCATCTTGGGTCCTCAAAACCGGGGCATGTTGATCAATGAAGCTTCGGGTGGCTTTCGGGTAGCATGGGGAGCCCTGTGTTCCCAAAGCTCCCTTGGTTCAGTGGGCTCCGGAATTTGCGGTGCTTTTTGTTTTGTGGCATAGCATGTGCTCAGGCCCGGCCTTCCCAGTCCGGTGCATTTCGGCTCAGATGTGTTTTGTGCTTTTGATCCTTTGGTCTGGTTCCTTGCCTGGTTCCTCTGCATTCCCTCGCCCTATGATGGACACTGAACCCACCCACAACCCGCGCACTAGCTTTTGACTCCATGCTCGCGGCTTCCAAGGACGCCCACCCAGCAACTCCTCAGCTAGTTTTGAACCGCGCGCCAAGCTCTTGCAAGCACGCAGCCAGCAACAGGCTTTCATAAGCTTGCCATTGCGCAAGCGCCAGCCCACCAAAACAATTTGGGCGCTTGTTTTTTCGTGGAAAAAAAGGTCTGCCAATGAGCATTCCGCGAGTTCCGCTTTCCCATGTGCTTGCGATTTCCAAAATTGAGTTGATGTTGTTTCCATTTGCTGAAAAGAATGTGTTCTTTATTTGTCTCTTTTGTTAAAGCGAGTCTATCACTACTGGACTCTTTGCCCATTTTTTCCAGGTGGCTTCTCACATGGAAGATTCGGGCCACGGCCAGGGGCGCGGCCACGGCAAAGCACGAAAACACCGACCCGACCCACAAGACAAGAATTGATCTTCACCGTTGTTGGATCATGTTTGGTTTAGGTGTTTAAAGTGTTTTTGGTTTTTGGGGTCCTCTTTCTAGTGGAGGCTTAAAACAACTTTTAGCTACCGTACCAAGGGGTTGGAAAGAAAGGTGACCCTGGAGGTGAGAATGTGTCCAACATGTTCCGCGGCACCCATTTGGTTAGGACTGTGCTTTAACCTTCACTTGGGGGCTTTGTATAGTTGCTAGCCATTTCATCTGGCATCATGGCTGATTGGGATTTAAAAGCTACTGTAGCCTCCTGAAAGACTGGTCTTGATTCTGGCTCTTGAATTTCGTGGTGTATTTGTCCACCAACCTCTTTTCAGGTGGTTCTGTTGAAAATATGATCGCATTTCAAGGATGTCTCGAACAAAATTCTTTGGGGGTTGGTGCCCTTGAAACATCATATGGGGGAGGCAAAACAAGGCCTCCCCCACGACCATAGGGCCCGAAATTCGTAGCGCGAAAGCTCATAGAAACCTTTTGAACGGGCGTCTTTTTGGCAATAGGTGCTGATTTCCGTGTGTGTCCTTTTTCAAGTCAACCCGCGTCAGCAGGATCCAGCAAGTGTTACCAGCCAGCGCCTCTGAACAGCCAACCACCCGGCAAGGGAATCGAACCCCCCCCGATCAACTCTAGGCCTCGCCATTCGCCCTAGCCGGAATTGCCGTCGACTTGTTTTTGGCATACTTTGCGCCAAAAAGACAATCAACAAACCTGAGATGTCCTGTAGAACTTCCCCCTTCTTGCTCGGCGTCTTTGGTGACCCAGCACCCGCGACACGCACGACCCGAGGGCCCGAGGGGGGTGGGTGCCGGTTCTTTTGGGGATCGGTTCTTTTTTTGTAGAACTCCCCTTTTTGCCGATGGGTTTCTTTGGCGACCAGCACCCGCAGCGCCCACGACCAGCACCACCTGACCTGCTTTCTGACCACCCCACAGGCTGGGTGCCTCTCGTCAGGAGCTCTGTGAGGTGTTCCTAGAGCAAGTGAACGGCAGCGTCTACGAGGCGGTGATGCTTTGCGCGCGGAAGGCGGAGATCGAGAGGAGCGTCGCTCGGAAAAAAATCGAGTCGCCAGCGGGGTCTCTCTCTGGGCTCCTTAAAAGATACATGTTTGCCCATGTTATGGCCTTTTCCACCAAAATAAGAAAAAGCCACCATTTGCAAGGTAATGTTCAGGTGTACAATGTAAGGATCCCTGTCTCGCCTTCTGGTTTGTTAGTAGTCCACTTTTGGTAGTACCACGACCTTGAAGAACTTGGGGGTGTCCTGCAAATTTGTTCCTTACCAGCCAAAGGTGACTCACTTTCGGGGCGGATCAGTCCGGTCAAGTTTTGGCTTTCCCAAAAAGTCCGCTTTGGGTCCCAAGACCCATGGCCCCCTAGGTCCAAACTGGGCAACTGAGGTGAAGGACAAGCTCCAGAAGAAGCGCAAGGCGCTTCGCTTCGCCTCGAGGGGGGGTGGACGTGTACGACAAAACAGGGTGGCAATTTGGGTTGGACCCTTTCGTCCCTTCAAACTGTGTTTGGCCCAAGAAGGGCAAGGTGCCTTCATTGCACGAAAGTAACCGCTAGACAAAAAGTACCGGAGAAAACAACGGCGGGAAGTCACAGGTCGCGTCTCTTGTTCGCTTCTTTTGCAGTCCCGCACAGACACACAGAGACACACACACACACACCAAGCACACACGCACACAAGCAAGGGTTGCTCAATAAGACCAAAAAAAGCAGCTGGGCTGAATCACAAAGTGGCCCAACAGGTGTTGGATTTGGCGGTGCCTGTATGCCTCTCACATTTGCCCGTAGATGTGCGCAAAGTTTGAGTTGTCTTGAGCCTCTTTGGGCTTGGGTGCAATGACTTGCCGTTCACTCATGTCTTTACATGACAACCCCCACAGACCCCTGACATGGCTACTCTGCCAAGACACCCATAGGTTCAGTGGGGGCACATGACAACCTTGGTAGCCTTGCAATCTTCCAAGTCCAAATGATCCCCCCCCCCACTGAACCACCCCTCAGGCCTGCAGAGCACTGTGTGCCATGCCAATGAAAGTTGTTTTTGTTTGTGTTTTTGTTGGTTTAGTTGGTATCCTCTTTGGATTGTTTTTGTTGAGGTCCCCTAACACATGACAGCAACGTCCATTTGTTAAAATGAAAGCAGGTCATTTCCCCATCTTTGTTTCTTAGTTTGAATCTATCACTGATGGACGTATGTTATATATATATATACACATTTTTCCCAGGGGCGAAAAACACAAATGGAGGTGTGCGACCAGTTGTTCGGCTGAACAATAAGTCACCCCGTATAGCGGCTGGAGCTGCCGGTCGCCATTGACGGATGTACCGGTCGCCGTCTGAACCCACGAAGAACAAAGCACCATAAAACAGAAAAAGCCGCAAAAAGCAAACAAACCCTTAACCCCCTCCCCCCCAAACCAAAAAAACAAGACAAACACAACTAAAATAAATAATTTAGATTAAAAAAAAAAAGGAAAAAAAAACCCACCCGATCAGACCCCTCCCTTGCCTCTTGGCTCGCTCATTCCACCGAGGGGGAGAAGTGCTTGGCCTTCGAGGACCTGGAGACGGAGATGCTCTGCCGACCGCCTAGAGGGCTTCCAGCGAGACGTCGACGTTTGTGGGCGACGTTTTGGGGCTGACCTGAGGCGAAGAGGGAAACCGTACCCGTTTGGGCGAAGAAGTCAACCATGTACGAAATTCTGCACCACTTTGGAAACCATGATTGGTTGCGGCGTTTAAAAAAGGTGGGAGGTTGCAATGCCGCAATATGCTTGGTTGCAACTGAACCTTCGGCGGTTTCGGGCTTCCGTCAGCAAAAAGCTTGAGCCATTCAGGCCCCGCGGCAATGGGTGCCAACTCGGGTCCCCCCTGCCTTCGTTTTTTGGATCTCCAGGACCCTGAGCCTAGGGCTTTGCAGCTTTGCTCTTTTTGCCCCTTCGGAGGCTTCAAGGGTTTGGGGGAAGCGCCAAAAACGGGGGGAGTTCTTCTTCTTTCGACCCCCTTTTAAACAGCAGAAAGAGGCACTGCCAATTTGGGAAGCGGTGCCCTTGGGAGCCCTTTCCCAAAGCTGGTGGCTTGGGGAGTTGAACCCCTGGCTGCTGTAGAGGCCACCTCCAAGCGGCGCGAAGCCGGAGCTCACGAGCCTTTCAGCTGGTTAAAAAAAGGACATGTGTTGGGTGCCGCTTATGTTGACTCATACACATTTATTTTATATATTTTGTTGGGGGGTCAAGCCAAGCGGAACCCATCATGAGCAGCCGTCACTTGGCGATGCACATATGTTTTTCAGGTTTTGAACACGTAAAGATTGCAGATCTTGCCCAGTGCGTCGGGAATCTGGGGAAGCCGTTCATGGGTAAAACCTGGAGGCCATAGTTACGTACCTATAGTGGACGGGGGTTTGGGTAGTAGCCATGGTAGCCGTACTACTGATCATGTTTGTTTGTTTGTCAAGTTCTTTCAGGTAGTTGCAGCTAACCTCAGGCCGTCTCAAATATCCAACCACCACAAGGGGCATTTCGTTTAGAGAGGAATTGGCCCTTGTCCCCCACACCTTTCTGACTCTTTGTGGGGCATTTGTCCAAGGCCATGACAGACAGGTCAACGAAATGGGCATGGTTTTTTTTGGGAGCTTTGGGTGGACAACATTTATAGTTGGAACCCCATTTGGGTGGTTAGGAAAACCACAAATCATGGAGGTCCCCTATCCTTTGTTTTGCCAATTTCAACCCGCAAGACTTGTCTCTTTTTGCAGGACGGATCCGTTTGGCCGAAATGGATTTTCCCATTGTGATGCAAAAACAGTACCCATTGCCCCAACAGCCAGGACTCGTAAATTTGCTCTTCAGGGGAGCGGATGAAGCCCAGCTGGGAGAAACCAACTCAGTCGGATGGAGAACGTCGAGGACAAACCAATCGGGTGCCCGTATCAACTGCGCGTGGATTTGGGTCGTCAAAATGAGCCCAGGATCGGGCCGCAGGGTAAAGCCTCCATCCTAGATAGCCAAGTTGCCCCTTTTTTTCAGTCACTGTTGCTGGTTCTTGGGGTAAAGTTCATGAAAAAAGGCGATCGCAACTGGCGATCCAGGAGGTTTCCATCCAGGGTTCTGTCTTGGGTTGCCTGGTTTCGGTTTCCACGAGGCACCTACGGGGACGCCTTCGAAGATGCGGGCGGCGTGGAGGAGGTGAACGCGCAGCTGCCGGAAGTGCCCGGAACCTGAGATGAAAAGAGGCAGTTGGAGGGATCAAAGTAAAGAGGTACGTCGAAATGGAGGAGCTTCCGCAAAATGGATCTTGGTGTTTCCCTTTGAGGCGTCCACTTCTTGCGATCGCTGCGAGAGATGCAGGGAATGAGACATGGATTGACCCCCGAGCAAAACCATGGAACTGGTGGTGTCCTTTCTTCGGGAATCGGGTTCATTCCTTCATTCCCTACTATCGCACCAGCAAGTGTTGGGGGAACCTTTGTTGAATTGGTATGAGAGGGATTTTGAGGGTTCCCTTCCAAAAGGCCACCCATGGATATGACCTTGTTGTTGGTGCTTCCAAGCCGTCCGGTTCCTGAGGTTTTTAGGATTCTAGTTGTAGTGGGGTTCCATTTAACCCACAAGTTAGACTGGAGAGGGGATCTGAGGACAGCCCAGATCTGACCTTTTGGTTTTCAAGATAAACCAACAGGAAACTAGGGTTGTGGGATCAAGAAGTTTATTCCCTCTTCCGTGATACAAGGGAATCCCCTGTTTATCTGGGGGGTTGTCTTTGGGAGGCCCTTTTTGTTGTATCACAGAAGGTGTCTTTTCGCATAGCCCTGAAACTATTGGGGGGGTCCAATTCCAATGTGAGGCAAGCAAATTGGCCAGAGGCATGGACCCCGTCAAAGTGGACTTTGCAATGACTTCTGATTCTGGTTTTCCAACGAAGCTGGTTGACCCCCTGAAATGGTTGGTTTTGTTTTTGTGTTTTTGCTGTTTTTTTCTTCTTTTTTTTTGGGGGGGGGGGGGAGGTGGGTTATCCTCAAAATGGTTTTTGAGGATGTCACGTTGCTGGACCCAGTTTCTTTGTGGCTTCCTGGAAAAAGCAACCCCACAAGCGACCCGAAATGACACACCCATAGCAGGACATGCTCTGTTGCTTGACATCCTTCAGGTCAAAGCACTGCCGCAACTTGAAGCGGGTGGGATTGAAACATGCTGTGGATGGACGAAATCCATTTTGCACCTCTGAGAAACCATGATGACATGATTGTTTGTGGGTATTTACAGGGGAATCGAATCATTTGGTGTCTTAGGCACAGGATTTCGTCCATCCACAGTAGAGGGCCCTTTTGCGCGCCCCTTGTCGGGCCATGAATGAAGCTGGGACGCCGAATCTGAGTTGTTGATAGGGATCCGGTCAGAAAGTGTCCGAGGGTCTTGCCAGGCTCACGTTTCAAATTGGCACGGATTGACTTACTCAATGGCTCACCAAAGGGAAGTCATCTGACAAGCCACGCAGCTGCCGGGGTTGCAGGTTTTGAACCAACAAGCCAGTGGGAGCCGTTCTTCCGCGGCTTCATGTTTAAACACATCCCGGGGTTTCTTTCAGCATTCTCCAGCAACCCTTATGGTTGGCCAAACAAAATCACGCCAACTCACTCCCTGAGTTCTTGTTCCTGGACTTGAGTCACTTTTTGGGGTTTGGACCATGTTGGTACGCAACAAGTGTGGTTGTTGTTTTTGGCCGAGCCTGGCCTAAGTCATGAAAAGCAACAGGAATGTCCCGTACTCCGTGGACTTTGGCCGAAACGGGCTCCAAGACTTGCACTTGGAAGCTCGGACCTCCCGCAAGAATTCCCAACGGCACCAAACCCTCGAGCGATGGATGCGAGAAAACCCGCCGTGAGCGGCAGCCCGGTGGCAAACCACCCGGAGATCCGGAACGGCTCCAGGGCCACATCCGCGCGTGGCATCTTCACCAAGGCTGCGGCTTCCTTCCGCGAGCGCAGGACGATGCGTTTTTGTGCAGATCTCCGCCTGCAGGTTCGGAGAGGAAGGGGCAATGGAGAACTCCGCCAAGCTGTGCGTAGCCAATCATGTGCGGCGACTGCCCCAGAAGGAAATCACAAGGAGATGCAAAGATGATTAGTTCCTTTTGGTGTCTGGGCAAAACCACTTCAAAAGGAGTATCTTCAACAAAAGTGCGACCGGTTGGTTTTTAGCCCACGGCAACAAATACTGCGGATGGACAAACTCCTGCACCACCTTTCAGCTTCCCTGGAATGATTCGATTCCCCTGGAAATACCACCAAACACTTCTTTCCACCATGGTTTTCAAGTGGGTTTCAGGATTTCAAGAATTCTCTCCCATGGCTTCAAAGTAGTTTGAGAAGGATTTCGTCCATTTTCCTCCACTCTTTTCTTCCATTTGATGAAAATAATATTTTTGTATTTTCCCGTTTTGATCTTGAAGGGAATCTATCACTACCGGAAATATTTGTATTTTTTCCAGGGGACTTCTCAGCAAATGGAGGTTTTTCGATGCCCAGCCGCCCGCCCTCGCGCCAATTCCAGGGGCGAGCTACTGCGGGCCTACCGCGGCGGCCGAGTGCGACAGGAGATTTTGTTCCGATCCGACGGATCCCACGCCCCGCTTTTGTGGGCCCTGGGAGCTTGGCAGACCTCAAGTCTGCAAATCCTGGGAGTTGTTGGCAGAGTTCTCTTCAAAATTCGAGGGGTAGCTTCCCCATCCATTCTTTCCACCGGTTTTCTTTCCAGAAAACCGCCCAAAACCCTGGGGAAACAGCGATCGGTGCTTGAAAAGAATGATGGTTGAAACGAATGGACAAGGAATCAACCCCTAGAAAAATGTGTCCACAGTCCCGGCCCCGCGGCCCCGGGAAGGAAGTTTGAGTCTTGGGCGCGAAGGGCTTCCCTGGTTGGATTTGATTGTGAAAGGGAAACCAAGAAGGAGGCCAGCCATTGTGGTTCTCCCAGTTTGCACACGTGCCCATTGCCAGTCTAGCCTACCTTTCCATGTTTTCCCTTTTTTGGGTTTGCAAGGGAGCGGGGGCTGGCTTTTCTAAGACAAACTTATGTTTTTGTTCTTTCTGTTTTTTTCTTCTTCTTTTCAGGCACCTGGGGCTCAAGTGCCGCCTCCCCGTGACCCGTGAGACCTCCAGACCTTTAGATTCTCCTCCAGAAGGATTTTTGGATGTTCGGGGTTGACGAGGTATCAAACGAGTCTGAAAAGTGATTGTTCGATCTTTAGCGTTGACAAGGTAGGAAACAGAGCCTGCAAGGTTATTGCGCAGAGTTTGTCCAAGAAATTGGCGTCCCGAAATGGTGGATATCATGGTGTCCACCCCGAAATGGTCGATATCATGGCGTCCACCAACCTTTGCAAGCATGTTCCTTGTTGAAGTTCGTAGCATGGGTGTCCTTTCTGTTTTTTTTCTATGACTTTCCCTGCCAACAGTCACCAGGTTCTGAAAAGCCACATGCATGGTGCCTGGTCTAAAACCAGCCCAAGTGGTGATACCCATTCTCCTGTGAGTCGCTTTTTGGTAGGATTCCGAACTATGGGCGAATGCTTGTTTGTTTCTTGTTTGGGGGATCTTTACATCCACAGTTTGTGGAGGTCCATCACTGCTGGACATATTCTTTTCCAGGGGGCTAACGCAAATGGACGAATAGTGAACATATGGGTTTGTCTAGAGTCTAGCCCCAGAATGGCGGTCTTCCTTTTGGTGTCCCCGTACAACCGAGACGGGGTTCCCAAAAAAGGACGAGCCACCAATGCAACCCTCTCCAAGATAACGAGAACACACATTTTTTGGCAATATTTTGACACCCATCCCCGGCAATCTAGCTATGCTAAGGCTGACTTTCAGTCAGATAGGTGTTCAGTCGGTCACTATGACATCTGCCAATCCCTAGCAAATGGGTTTGTCCTTGTTTTGAGAACCCCTCTTTGATCGTTTTTAAAGGAACATTAAGAGGAAACCCACCATGTTGGTGGCTACCCTAAAAAACAAGAGACCACCCAAACGTAATATCCAAAACTCGTACCAACCCACCAACTCGTTTTTTTGCACAGGAACCACCCGATGAAAAGAAGAAAAAAGAAAACACTCAAAAACAGAGCAACCTCAGCAAAAGCCGCCAAACACCTTTGTTTTCATTCTTACCAACCAGCGGCGGCGTGTCTTTGGACCGGGAGGACGCGGGCTACGAGATCCTGGGCTTGAAGCCCTTGCCGGGCTTCCCGGGCGACTGGGAGAGGGGGGGCCCGAGAGCCCTCGAACTCGCCAAGGAAAACTGGGGAATTCACACAGTGTTGGGGTACCCTGTTTTTGTTTACGGAAATTGTTTGAGTTGATCGCCACAAAAAATAGGGGGACATTCACCCAGGTTTGGCAAAACCAGGGGATTTGAGACCCGGCATGGACATCGAAATTTGTTGGGTGTCATGTGCAAGCACAGTTCGGTGCTTCTTCATTTAACTGCATGTAAGTTCAAAGAAGATACCAACGGGTTTCTTCCATTTGGGCTTCAGAGAATGTATTTTGCATATTCCCGCGGTTTAAAGGGAATCGATGTTCACTTCATGGAAATGTAATTCTCATGCATTTTCCAGGTGACGAAGAAGCAAACAGAGGGTTTGGCCACAGTTGACCCGTAGTGGGTTCTAAGAAATGCGTTGTGTTTTGGTGCGAGGTGTTAAACGGGTCCCCTTCAACAGCAGCTAGCAGGGAAATGGCCCGTTGAGAGCAAACTCATCTTCCAGGTACCCTCCCCACAGATGTGAAATGGTGCGTTGGGGGAGGTGTGCCCTTCCCAAAACATTGTAGAAGTGTGCGTTCCCTAACAACGGTACCATCACGCAAATGACACCAGGGGTGAAACTCTCAATTTGGGACCTGAAATGGACATCAAAATGTGTTAGGTGTATCATGTCCAACCTCCGAGGTATGAGCTCAACAACCGCTGGCTGGACAAGTTTGAAGCGGAGGTGCGAACTGTGTCAGGCAGACTGTGGATGGTGAGACGAAATCCAGAAATCGCACCACCGAAATCGGAAACCCGAGGGAATGATATGAGTCCCCAACGTAAATACGTTTCGTGGTGCGAGATGGATTTCGTCCATCCGCGGTATATGGGGGCTCAGGCCCCTTGTTAGGCATGCAATTCGGTAGATTGCTTTGCGCAGGGCAATATGTACGGGCGGGGTAATTACTCCATGAAGGCGTGATGCAGTTTATAGATGCGTAGTGGTCAACCTCCCCTCCCCCGCTCAAAGGTTGGGAAAGAAATCTTGGAAGCAGCACCTGCTTCGCGGCATGCTTCTTGGAAGAGTCTCTCTTGCAAAGCTTCTTGGGTATGGTTGCCTGGCTTGACCACTTAACTTTCCAACGAGCAGCTCTGCAATCAAGAGCTTGGTTGGCAGTTAGTTTGCAACGCACCCTGGCAATAGCCCCTTGACTGTAGCACCTTGGCACAACCGCTTCTTGGCAAAAGTTGCTTGGCGTTGCTACTCAGGCAGAGGTTCCTGGTAAGCAAACAGAGCCTGGAAGAGATAATTGTCCAACCAGAAACGCACCCGTTGGGTAGAAGGAGGAATGGCCTGCACACGCTGTTGGAACTTCATGGAAACTGGCAGCTTGGGAAAGAAATCTTGGAGGCAGCGCCTTGTCAAGTACTGCTTGGCAGCATGCTTCTTGGAAGAGTCTCTCTTGCAAAGCTTCTTGGGTATGGTTGCCTGGCTTGACCAGTTAACTTTCCAACAAGCAGCAGTGCAATCAAGAGCTTGGTTGGCAGAGTTAGTTTGCAACGCACCCTGGCAATAGCCTCTTGACTGTAGCACCTTGGCACAACCGCTTCTTGGCAAAAGTTGCTTGGCGTTGCTACTCAGGCAGAGGTTCCTGGTAAGCAAACAGAGCCTGGAAGAGATAATTGTCCAACCAGAAATGCACCCGTCGGGTAGAAGGAGGAATGGCCTGCACACGCTGCTGGAACTTCATGAAAATTGGCAGCTTGGGAAAGAAATCTTGGAAGCAGCGCCTTGTCAAGTACTGCTTGGCAGCATGCTTCTTGGAAGAGTCTCTCTTGCAAAGCTTCTTGGGTATGGCTGCCTGGCTTGACCAGTCAACTTTCCAACAAGCAGCAGTGCAATCAAGAGCTTGGTTGGCAGAGTTAGTTTGCAATGCACCCTGGCAATAGCCCCTTGACTCTAGCACCTTGGCACAACCGCTTCTTGGCAAAAGTTGCTTGGCGTTGCTACTCAGGCAGAGGTTCCTGGTAAGCAAACAGAGCCTGGAAGAGATAATTGTCCAACCAGAAACGCACCCGTCGGGTAGAAGGAGGAATGGCCTGCACACGCTGTTGGAACTGCATGGAAATTGGCAGCTTGGGACAGAAATCTTGGAAGCAGCGCCTTGTCAAGTACTGCTTGGCAGCATGCTTCTTGGAAGAGTCTCTCTTGCAAAGCTTCTTGGGTATGGCTGCCTGGCTTGACCAGTTAACTTTCCAACAAGCAGCAGTGCAATCAAGAGCTTGGTTGGCAGAGTTAGTTTGCAATGCACCCTGGCAATAGCCCCTTGACTGTAGCACCTTGGCACAACCGCTTCTTGGCAAAAGTTGCTTGGCGTTGCTACTCAGGCAGAGGTTCCTGGTAAGCAAACAGAGCCTGGAAGAGACAATTGTCCAACCAGAAACGCACCCGTCGGGTAGAAGGAGGAATGGCCTGCACACGCTGTTGGAACTTCATGGAAATTGGCAGCTTGGGACAGAAATCTTGGAAGCAGCGCCTTGTCAAGTACTGCTTGGCAGCATGCTTCTTGGAAGAGTCTCTCTTGCAAAGCTTCTTGGGTATGGCTGCCTGGCTTGACCAGTTAACTTTCCAACAAGCAGCAGGGCAATCAAGAGCTTGGTTGGCATAGTTAGTTTGCAACGGCACCCCGGCAATAGCCTCTGGACTGTAGCACCTCAACTGCTTCTTGGCTGACGTTGCTTGACGTTGCTACTCAGGCAGAGGTTCCTGGTAAGCAAAACATGAGCAAGGAACAGATAATTGTCCAATCAGAAACGCACCCGTCGGGTAGAAGGAGGAATGGCCTGCACACGCTGCTGGAACTGCATGGAAATTGGCAGCTTGGGAAAGAAATCTTGGAAGCAGCGCCTTGTCAAGTACTGCTTGGCAGCATGCTTCTTGGAAGAGTCTCTCTTGCAAAGCTTCTTGGGTATGGCTGCCTGGCTTGACCAGTTAACTTTCCAACAAGCAGCAGGGCAATCAAGAGCTTGGTTGGCATAGTTAGTTTGCAACGGCACCCCGGCAATAGCCTCTGGACTGTAGCACCTCAACTGCTTCTTGGCTGACGTTGCTTGACGTTGCTACTCAGGCAGAGGTTCCTGGTAAGCAAAACATGAGCAAGGAACAGATAATTGTCCAATCAGAAACGCACCCGTCGGGTAGAAGGAGGAATGGCCTGCACACGCTGCTGGAACTGCATGGAAATTGGCAGCTTGGGAAAGAAATCTTGGAAGCAGCGCCTTGTCAAGTACTGCTTGGCAGCATGCTTCTTGGAAGAGTCTCTCTTGCAAAGCTTCTTGGGTATAGTTGCCTGGCTTGATTAGTTAACTGTTCAACAAACAACGACAACAACTGCAAGACCTTGGTTGGCAGAGTTGGTTGGCAGCAGCGCCTCGGCAAATGCCTCTAGACTCCAGCGCCTCGGCAAAAGCCCGCTTCTTGGCACAAGATGCTCGGCGCCGTGCGAAGTCTCTTCAAAGCCTCCCTTGACTAGCCCGACAGATATGAGCCTTGGGAGCAGATGTAAGGGGCGCCCGTTTCCACAGCTTGGCAAGAGAACCCCGGCAGATGCCTCTTGACTCCAGCAACGCTTGGCAGATGCTTGGCATGGCAGCTCCGAGAGAGTTCCTTGGCAAAGAGCGCATGGCTGAACGACGGAATATGAACTTACAATCTTGGTTATGCAGCAGCTTGTGCACGAACAGCCACAGTGTGGAAGCCGAAGCAGTTTGCACTAGCTGCTTGAGACGTGTGACATGTTTGCTCTTGTAGTCGCAGTGTCGGAACCTGATGGCGAAGCTGCGAAACCTTGGCACAGCTGTTTGGCTGGAACCGATTTAGGAACAAGGAGCGATCATGAGCCGTCATTTGGAGTACAGAACACTGTAGCTTCTTGGCTCGAAGACGTCATCTGGGGATTGTGACCGCAAGCTGCTGGCAAGTCCTCCCTAGTCTTCGATAATTTGTTGCACGTTGTGTACCCATGACCTCCGACCTGGTGTGTTTGGGTGTTTCTGATACGTTCCCGGCTTGCATGGTTGAAGCATTAGATACTCGCCATGGGACTGACGACATTTCAAGCCTGTCCATTCTGTCGCCTGTAGATACAGGCGAGGCGAGTGCGTATACATCCAGGACGATGCCAACACATGCAGCCGGTGGAAAGTCAACTCTACCCGCGTCCAAACCTAACAGTGTGCAAAGGCTCCCACAAGAGGTGTCTGAAGTTGCTGGCAAGGCAGGTTCGCACACATCCAGGGCGACTGCAACGCAAGCAGCTGTTGGAAAGAAAAGTCCGCCATCCAAGCCCCCACAAGAGGTGTCTGCAGTTGCTGGCAAGGCAGGTTTGCGCACATCCAGGGCGACTGCAACGCGAGCTGTTGGAACGTCAAGTCCGCCATCCAAGCCCCCACAAGAGGTGTCTGCAGTTGCTGGCAAGGCAGGTTCGCGCACATCCAGGACGACTGCAACGCGAGCAGCTGTTGGAACGTCAAGTCCGCCATCGAAGCCCCCACAAGAGGCGTCTGCAGTTGCTGGCAAGGCAGGTTCGCGCACATCCAGGACGACTGCAACGCGAGCTGTTGGAACGTCAAGTCCGCCATCCAAGCCCCCACAAGAGGTGTCTGTAGTTGGTGGCAAGGCAAGGTCGCCAACATTCAGGGCAACTGCAACACGTGCAGCTATTGGAAAGTCAAGTCCGCCCGCATCCAAGCCCCCACAAGAGGTCTTTGCAGTTGCTGGCAAGGCAAGGTCGCCTACATCCAGGGCGAGTGCAACACGTGCAGCTAATGGAAAGTCAAGTCCGCCCGCATCCAAGCCCCCACAAGAGGTGTCTGCAGTTGCTGGCAAGGCAAGGTCGCCTATATCCAGGGCGAGTGCAACGCATGCAGCTGTTGGAAAGTCAAGTCCACAGGCATCTAGCCCTAGCAGAGGTCAAAGTCACCCAGCAGATGGGGGCTATCCGGCGCACGTGGGGGTCCAAACAGTAGCAAGGGCCATCCCTCGAGCCATCCGCAGTTCCAAGTACGACGCCTCTCCCAAGATGGAGGACCTCATGGGTCTCAACATTTGCTTTTGGGCATGCACCCCTGAAAGTTTGTCCTACCGCAAACTTGAAGAACTTGGGTGTTTCTTTTCGGGGACCGTCTTTTAATTAATTTGAAAGGGGAGCATTGAAGGCGTTGTCATTTTAATTATCTATATATTGAAGCAAGGCCACTTTGGCTCAACATTTCTTTTGCGGGTGTTCGCGTACTTGTTCACCCCTAGCTTGGCTTGACCGGGCGCTTTTGAGGTGACCTCTCCGACCTATCTTTGTTTGACCAATCCTTTTCGCAGTTTCCCCGCCATTGGTTTGGATTGGTGCGTTGGATTTGGATTTGAACTTTTAGTTGGGGAACTGCTCACCACCAATCTTTCAAACCACCAGCTAGCGGAAGCCGATCCTGGCCTCGAGGAGGTGAACCTCCTGCGGTTTCCGGGTCTGCAGGGTGCCCTGGCCGAGTACGCCGCGGGCGCTTCGGGGCCAAAGAGCCTGGCGCGGGCCGTCATCGCCGCGCTCTTCGACGCGGAGTTCCGGGGATCGAAGCGCTGGGAGGTGAACGCCGCCTGTGCCACCGAAGCGCCCGACCGGAAGGAGCCAATGGATGTGGGTCGTGTTGAGGCTACCCTTTTGTGGGGTGGTGTCGTGGGAAACCACATAAAACCACCACATGTTTTTGGGTCGCACTGTTTTGACACATACTCATGGCGAACTTGGCCAAGTTAGTAAGTCATCAGTAACCCAGGTGAGAACCCGCTGTAAATTTTGACTTGGCCGAAGAGCCAGGGAAGCTTACCTTCAGGCACTTGACAGGGGAGCTCCGTCGAGGAAATGGTCTTTTCAGGTAACCTAGCAAAGGTGCATGCGGGAGGAAATGAAACTCACTCCCTGAGTTTCTGAACTTACTTTTTGTGTTTGGACTATTTTGGTGATACACCACAACGAGTCTAGACTCGTTCGGCCAATCTACCATGCTCGTTGACATCCGAATTCTGGGGACCTCAAACTTGTAGCCAGGAGGGCCATCATCACGTTCATGGTTGTTGATTTGGATTTGCCCTTTGTTTCCATTTTGGAGGTAGTTTGAACATTATTTGTTGGATTTATTTTGGGTGAGCTTGCTGTTCTTCCCTTGAATTGAACTCCCGCCCAACCGTTTGCTGGTCAACGACCAAGCCGGAGGATGTCTTTCAGTGCGAGAAAAGCGCAGAGTACGACTGGAAGGATATCTCCTCGGTGGCCTCTGCCAAAGCCCTGATCCATGTGACCCCTGAGCTGATCAGCATCCACGACTACTCCTATTATGTCGCCGGATGAGACAAAACTTCCGACGAGATGTATGTTTTGTCGCCGGTGTTTTGAGCTCAAAAACTCGGGCAAGGCAAGATGAACCTTGCCAACCAGGCCGACCATGCCTGTGTGCATGTGTGCAGCTTGACTCAATGCTGACGGCAAAATGTTGCGGGGTCAACATGAACATTTCTTGGGTGATCTGACTGGAGCCTCGAGGCCCCGAAAGCTTCAGGATCTGAGGTGTAGAGTTGCCCCCCAAAATCAGTTTACCGGAATCAGTGCCCATACTCCCTTGCAGATCAACATGGAGCCCCAAAAACCACCAGTTGTAGAGGAAACTCCTTTTGGGGGGGGGGACCCGGTTTGGGTTCCATGTTTATGTGTAGGGGAGGATGTGCCAGGTCACTCCTTCTTCGGGGTGATGGTCTTTCCCCACAGATGAACACGAAGGGGGGCGCTACTGTGGATGGGCGAAATCCAAAATCCATTTCGCACCACCTGAGCAACCCTATATTCCCCTGTCACCAACAAACCTTATGGTTTCCTTCCCATGGTTTCACTAAACGGATCAGTCAATTTCAACCATCCACAGTATCACAAATGACCACCACAGATTCGTGGAGTTGGTCGACCATTGGAGCCGTCCAAGGAGCGCCTCGAAGGGTCACCGGACTTGTGACCCGGTCAAACCGCCCGCGCCGGTGTTTTTTAATCTGGGGAGCCACCGAGCTCAAGTTGGTGAACATGAACCCCGTCACCTAAATGATGCGAATGTCATCCAAAGGGTCCCCCATCACTCGTGTCTATTCCTCAGGAAAACTTCCACTTGTTGATTGCCGTGCTCGAAGAATTGCTATTCCAAAGCTGCCATGGATTGTTTAGATAAGTGGCCGGACAGAACTTTCACTTCTATTCTCGGCCAAAACTCCATAGGAAAATGAGTCGGCTTGGCTCGCAAGTCGGGGGGGGAAGTTGACTACTGAAGAGTTTATTCGCCATTTCGGAGGCAGGCGTTTGGTCTCACATGGCATGGTGTTTTGCCTTCACAACTCATTCACTACTCAAAAGGTCAATTCGTGGTCTTTCGGGATCCCTCTCGGGGTTGAATTCCACAAGATCGGGGAGCTTTCTTTGTCCAATAGGCCACAAGATCATTCTGAACGTTTGGAGGCTTCTCCCGATGTTGGACCCTCTTTGGTAGAACCAGAGGAACCAACTATTCTAAGAAACCATCTCCAGGAAATTCACCAAATGAGCCAAATACCCACCCAAAACCCAGGCCTGGGCTCATTGGGCGAATGTCCTCGAGGTGTCTTAGAACTAGTGTATCAGTCCTGAGTTTCTGGGCTTATTTTGAAGTTTGGACCATTTTGGAAGGCAAGAAGTTTGGAAATTTGTTGTGGCCAATCTCGGGAAATTCTCCAAATTTGCCAAAGCCAAGCCTGACTGAAGCCTCGTTTTGGGATCCTGATAGGTGGGATTTGAAGCCCTGGTTCTTGCACTAACAGGAAACCACTAATCCAAACCTCCAATTCATTGTTTTTGCCTTTTCCACTGTGTCTGGAATAAACCTTGTTGGTTTTGAAGGGAATGGATTTCGCTACTGGACATATTTTCTCAGTTTTTTCAGGGGGCTTAAAACGTACATGTAAGTCAACCACGGCTGTGTATGTTTTGGGGGTCCCAAGTGGTTGGTTTCCGATTGTGGTTTCCCATGCCAATCAAAAGGGAGCCTCGCCTTTTTCAGAAACTCCCTAATTTCTTACTTCCCGAGTTCCGTTTTGAGCCGGACCACTTTGGGTAATTCCAAAAGTTCGCTGAAGTGCTACTTTTTCGCCACTTTCCGGGATTTTGGACCGTTTTAAGTGGTGAAACGACCCAGTCCCGGGCTCCCCTCCGGGTTTTTTTGGGGCCCGTCTCGCCATCGGATGCACGCGGCCAGGTGCAGCGCCTGGCGAGCTGCACGCGGGGCCAGGCCATGGTGGCGCCCTTGAAGAGCTACGACCGCGCCAGGGCCAAGGCGCATGCGACGCGCGGAGCGGCGCTCGGAGCGCGCGGATCGCTTCGCGCGGAGAGTCTCGGAGACGGCGGGTTTGCGGGTGTCTTTGTTGTTGTGTGTTTTTGTGTTGTTGTTTTTTTCTCGGGGGAGGGCTCAAGGGAAAGCCTGGCGTTTTTTTGTGTTTTTTTTTTTTGGGGGGGGGGGGGGGGTTTGTTTTCCGGTTTTTCTGGGGGCATGGCCTGGTGGATCATGTTTTCTTGGTGGCTCCCAGCCATCCGGTTCCTTAGCTTTGTAGCTTTTTAGCTTTTTGGCGGGGGGGGGTCCATTTAGCCCACTAAAAGTTACACTTTTAGCGTTGTTGTTTTTTTTTGGGGGGGGCGGTCCCTCGGAGATTGTAGGAGTGTGATATCGCGTGTTGGCTCCAAAACGAGTTTATGAGGGTAGACGAAGTGAGTCTGTCCTTGTTTGAGGCTCGGGACTCCAGTGTTCTGGTTTTAAAGGGAAACCAAGAGGGAAAACCAACAATGGCTCCTTATTTCTTTAAAAACAATTGGGGGGGAGCCCTCTCAAGGTGATTTACCCTAAACCCCAAAACCATTTGCAAGCACTTTGGTGCCAGAGTTCACCCGGCCTGAGCGGATGATTACCAACGGAAGGAACCCAAACAGGGGGGGTCCGTGTCCTAAGGGTGATAGGTCCCGATCCTCGCACATGGGGAGTCTTTGGGCTCCATGTTGTTTTTTTGTAGGAGTGTATTATGTACTTCGGGCAGCACACAAAACGCTGAACAGTGTCCAACAAGAATGGGGAGAGAAACAAACCACACTTGTCACTCTCAGGACTGCGTTTGTTCCGCTCGGGGGAATCTGACGCATCAAACCTGCCGAAAACAAACAGCAAGCAATACTTCCATACCCGAAAAGGATGGTGGCAAATCAGTGTGCCCTTCTCCCCTTGTTCGCCAGAAAGGAAGGAGAGCAGCGTTGGGTTGTTTCAAAGTTCCGTCTTCTCGAATGTGTTGTGCAAGTTGGGTGTGCGCCTCAAAACGAAAAGGGGGATGTTCTTCTAAGTTTGGGCATCTTATAGATGTTTATAGGAATGTGTTACTCCTCTGTTGTTGGCATGGTTTTAGTGGTTTTCGTTGTTGTTGGTCCTGTTCACAGCAGAGGCCTGCATCAAGCTTTGCGTGTTTGCCACCATAGCAAGGATTGGGCAGTTGCGCCATCCGCCAGTATCCCCTCCCAAGAGTAGCCCAGGGGTCAACGCGTCGTGCCCTTTGCCGACGATCTGCTTTGCCAGGTGGCGGGTCAAAACCAATGGATCCCATTTTGGGGTAGGTGAATTCGCCACCATTTTAGCTATTTTAGGGGATTGGGATGTTCAGCGGAGGCTAACCGGGCTTTTGACCCATGGCCAGGTGATCACGCGCTATGGCGGCGACAGTTCCTGCATCACGGATGTGATGAGGGCCTCCATCGTGTATCCCACCATCGCGGAGGCTCTTGGAAGATTGGCGTGGTTTTGCTCGAAGGTGCCCCTTCTAGGTCCCCCAGTGCCCTTTTACCCGTTTTTTGGGGGAGGGTTCCCCTACTAAAAGAGACTACAGAAAAAAGGGTAGTACTATTATTCTAACCTCTCTACTGGAGGACCT